TTTTATATTATAACAATAACTGGTTTTTAATAATTCCTAACAAAACAGTGACAAAACTGTAAAAATGTGACGCACGAAGAAAGGTCACAAATGTATTTACCATTTTCATAATTTACAGTACTTAGACTGCATATTAAAGTACAAATTATTTAAAATTAATGAAAACATATTTTTTATGGCATTTTTATTTCCTTGCTCAAGTAGAGAATTGAGTGGATGCAGCACGATCTCTTGACTACATATGTATTTATATACATAATAACATTATATTCGAAACCTATGTATTTAAAAAATTAACTTTAATAATTAACTTTTATATTCTTTCTATACTTCTTCAGCATAAAAACAAAGACACAATAAAACAGGAAAAAGTATACATATTTTATCGCTAAAAAGCGAGCTTTGCCGTACAAGTAAAAAATTACAAAAAGCTAAAAATTAATGAAGATGAATTAATATAAATTAAACTATAATGATATATTCATTATAAAAATACAGAAGGGTGAAAGTTGGAAAAAAATAAACTAATAAGAAAGGAAGATGGTACATATTAAGCTTAACAATGAAAATGGATTGAGCTCGACAAATAGAAAGGGGAAAGAAAATACAAAGGCGAGAGGTAGTAAAGGAGCTGGTGAAAGGAAATGAAAATTAGGGAGGTATTTTAAGAAGTAATTTCTAAGAACACCGAAGCGTATGCTCACGAGAGTCCTTGAGAACCTCAAACCGATCCTTGAGATGAGGAGGAGTAGCTAGATTTAAAAGTATGGCGTAAAGTAGACAAATAATTTTACTATTCCCGAAAGAGCGCTTTTGCAGCCACCTTAGCTTTTCACAAAAAAGAAACACATGGTCTTATATAAACAAAATATATACCTAACATTTAGGTGTTACTAACGCTCAAAGTTATTCAACTTCCCTTTAGTAACATCACAGAAATCATGAGTCATCGTGATCAAGGATAGGAAGCATGACAGAATTTGCAAAAACAATTTTAGTGGTGGTTGGAAAAAATGGCTGAGGCAAAAATGTGTTCACTCATGACATCTTGGATTAAACTTGGATTTTGTCAATGTCTAAAGTGAATAAGTTGAAGCAAGTGACCGTACATAACTTGCTAGTACTACAACTGATAATACTCTGAGTTTTTGCAGGATTGTCTTTCTTTCCAAAAGATTTACACGGTGTATTTATGGTATTAAGTGCTTATTAATAGTATTAACTTTATTTGTAAGCTGAACAATCAGAGACAGAATTGTTAATCTTAAAACTTTGTCTTCGGCCAAGCAAGTAAAAATGAGACCAATCAATCATCTCAGGAGATATTTTAATAGACCCAAATAGATCAATGCCACCTAGTAAACAATATCACATGTTTCTACAAATTATACAAAGCGATGTTAAAGAAATATCAAAGTAGAATATTCTATTGTCAGTGATAATATTGTAGTGTGAGATTAATTATTATAGCTTTTTCTTCAAAGTAATCCATCTTAGTATTGAAAATTTATATTATTTCTTTTAAAGATACTTCCATACATCGAATAGTGCTCTTTTACAGTAGATTATCAGAATTGTAACATTAAACATGAAAATTTGAAAATAACTTTTCTGGTGAGTATTATACTTACAAATCGATAAAATTTGGACAGATATGTGAACCACTTGTCACATGGTTACAGTTACAAGATGTGTTACAGGGTTTCTTCTAAATCTAACCACATCCCATTTCAGACAAAGCATTCTCTTGATATTAATCATTTTGACCACAATTTACATTTAGAATAATATTATTTTCCGAATCACATATTATTCCGTTGCATTAATTTCTGTTTATTTATTGTTTAACTTAAACCTAGATTGGATCGTGAATATATAAAAGCACTTCACATTAGGGACGTGATACTTTCAATTTGTTTTGTTCAAGCAAAATCGAACACCCCTCTCCCCACCCGCCCGGTAAAATACAAAGAAAATTGAAGTACCTACAATCTTTTCAGACATTTTAAAATACTTCGATTTGCCGTTCGCAAATATATATAAAAATAGCAATAGAGGTTGCCTCAGTTTCCTCATGTTTACATTATCTGTATATAAAAAAACGAACATGCAGTCGTATGTTACTAGTAAGTAATGAAATACAAAATAACTTATCATCATTAGTTGTAATCAACACGGGACTTTATTATCTCTCTTCTCCTAAAATCTCTCTTCACCGGCCTACAAATATCTCAATTTTGCCTAAGCGACTGTCGGATCTGCGGCATACGGGGCCTGCCACTTCATCCTGCTTATCCACTGAGCAACGTCGGTTGTACTGATTCTCTGACGAATAGCTTTATTTCTAACTCCGTAGCTTAGAAGCTTCAATAAAAAGGAAATAGATTTATATTCTATACATTTATTTTTCTAGAAGTATGACAAATAAATGAACTTACATATTACTATCATATTCGAATGGCAAAATGAAAAATGTTATGTAATAGTTTAAAGTACAATTTCTGCAAAACATTAATATGTCATTGTTCCGAGTTATGAAACCTGTTTAAAAAGCCCAATTTTATATTTATTTTATAAAATTGTAGAAACAAATTTAATATCCATTCATTCGTAATCCAATTCATTTTATAATTTTATATGTAGAACACTATCAATGAAAAGTGAAAGATAAAATAATCATTTATGAAAATTAAGTTAGCAAAAGCATCATATTTTTCAATGTATAGAAAAAAGCTTTTCATAGCAAAACACAAGCTATTTCTTAAACCAAAATAAGTAACTAATGTCTTCTTCGTTTCTAAAGAATATAACTATGTACATTTTGTCTATATAACCGTATTCTTTTTGCATTTTTAAGGCAACTTTGATGTATATAGTATAATATTGTTACATTAGTATATTGTATAGAGTCAACATACAAGGAATTCACCTAAAGGCGACTCGAATTACATTTGAAGCCGTTAGGAGACAAATCTTGTTTTCTCAAAGCCTGAATTTAAGACGATATTAGATTACAAGTACTATCCATTTCTTAACACAAATTTATTTTAAAATGTTTTTTACCGTAAACTTAATTCTTAAAGAAATCAATATTTAAATGATACTGTGATATTTTTTTTATTAGATTTATAACATGAATTACGAATTGAATAAACTTATTAATTCATTATTTACTTATACAAAGTATATAATTATATTATATTTAGCGTAAAATGTTATAAATATATTCATTCTGTGTACTATTTATCGATAAATATTCAAAGGAACCATAAACTGATCAAAAGTTTTAATGAGGCTTATAAAAAGTTTCCTCAGACGCAAAACTGAAAGGCAGAACTCAGCTAAGTTATCGAATAGTTATCAAGTAAAGCGACTTAGATATCAAAGTTAGACTTCAGTAAAAGGTTTAATACATAACATTCTGATGTTGGAATTAGAATCAGATTTAACAAATAGGGCTATTGTGATAAATCTGAGTTATAAATCACAAAAGATACTGTATATTGCACGATATTAAACATACATATATACTATTCCATTCACGGATATAGAATTTTACATTTTATTGAGTGGTTTTAAAACATAATTTTTATTAAAGAAAAATTCCACTTTTATAGAAAATTTACACATTAAATAATATGTAACTTTTAAAATACTTAATATAATGTACAATGTAACAAATAAATTTTTCGACAATATATTTTTTTAATATCATTACCTGATTATACAAAAAAGGAGACAAATACTTTTGCTAATCGCTTCGGGTTAAAAGGCCATAAAAACGTTTTTGTAATTTTGGTCGAAATATGGTAATTTTAACAAGTTCCATAACAATGACAACAATAGGACTACGTCTTGTGACCTGAAAGAAAAAAATGAGGTTTAAGAGTCAGATGTATTGCCTTTAAAACTAAGTAACGTACCTCTAAAGTAACAAGATATGATAGCATTTGTTTAATATATATGTGTTTGTGTGTGAGTGTATGTCTATGTACATATATGCGTATGGATTTCTAAATACCCAAACAAAAAGTCATATCCATAAAGTATTTTCAAATATTTCATTCCATAATGGGAAAAGTACACGAAAATCTGAAAACCAGTAGCCATAACCATACTTCCAAACTGAATTGACGCGTGAACTGTGATGTGACTGAATTCGTGGAGATTATTTGAGGAATGGTCTGTAATCTCAGATCCGCGTCCTTGTAATTTGAGCCGTATTGTAGGACCATAAGAGTAATTTTAGAACGATAGCACTTTACATATCAAAGGATTAGATGTTTCCTTTATAATTAAATTGTTGAAACTCTGATAACATACGTTTACACTTAAAATATCCTCTTTGTATTTTGCACAGAATTACTTTTTCAATTGTTTATTCAAGCGATAAATTCGATACCCAAAACAAACTCATAAAGTTTCTTATATTTGAGTAAACAATGATATAACAGCAAATACAAAACAAGAGTTGCTAAGCTAGAATAATACGAAAAGAAAGTTTTAGTTTCATAATTTATTAAAAAAATACTTTTAAATGTATAAAATCAACTAACATAAGATAATATTCGATTGTATGTATATAGGTATATATTTGGTGTGCCTAGAAGACGATCGCTTATTTGTACCCCGCAGCGTCAACACTTTGAAGAGGATTATGAAGATATAGACAAGGCGATAGCAACCCGTGTACAGTATATAAAGCTAGGTACAGAGACCGGCAGCTCGTTTCCCGGTACTACATAAACCTGAGTATTGATTTTTACAATTTACGCAGATAGCTATTAGTTTACATACGAGCCCGAGCGTAAAACAATGAACTCTCGGACGTTTTATTTCTGTTCATTAATAACGTTGCCGGCTAGTAGACCACAGCGTTCGTTTCGCATACAACCTGCGTTGTTTTGTTTTGTTTTGTTTACATGTTACCTCTACGGGCCCACCACACCTAATTACCCTGTCGGCACCTTGAGACGTTTGGAATTCACCTGAACCGGCAGATGCGACGCAGCTGTCGGCCGGGCCAGTTCTCTCGTCCCGCGCGCTCCCGCCCCGCAATCCGCGCAATCGCGGCTAACAGTTTTATTTCCCCGAATAAACTTTATCAAACAAAGCGTGTGTGCCCCGCGCCCTGCATCTGCTCGCCCAGCTGTTCCTGTTGCAGCTGGCTGCGCTCTCTCGCTCTATCGTGGAAGGCATCAGACGCGTCGAGCGAGACGGCAAGTAGCTAGTGTAATCATATCGAGACCCTTCAATTCCCTGTACACGGACCATTCGCAGTCCGCATCCCGACGCCGCCGGGCAAACCGCGGGTGATTATGACGAGTAAGCGTAAACGTGAGCGCGACAATGAAGCTGTGCGGCAAGTTAAGCGTCAACGGCGCCGCAAACGATCTCGCAGCGAACCTTTAATGAATGATTCAGATAACGCTGAGAAGCGTCAAGCGCTGAAGCGTTTGTTTGGGAGATTCTGTTCTGTGGAAATGGAAAATGAACAACAGGATTCTGATGAGTTGTTTGATGACAATGAAAACGAAACATCTAACGGTTATGTGGACGAGAACGACGATCCTCTTCTAGATTCTGTGCCAGTCGATATGGATCCGGAACAACTTGGTTTTCTGGTGTGCGCTCAGGAGACTCTGCGCTTCCTCCACGGGCGCGGAATTTCCACCGAGCACCCAGTGTTCACCCGGCTGCGCCTGCGCCTGCTCCGAGGGATCGGTGAGATGGCGATGGCCTGAGTAATGCTTGGCCCAGAGCCCTCACGATACTAAATCTTTCTACACCCTAACTTCGGACTCCTGCTAGTGTTTATTTGTTCAGTGTCGATCGATGTGAATTCCCCAAACAATGTATTTCCTACTTCTAACTCCCGGGCTCTGGATAGTGCTTAAGGCATTTAAATGTGAAGTCGGTTGTTTCAAACGAAGCTTGAGGTGGCCCGCGAGGGTTCTCTAGTCATAAACTAGTCAATAATAAATATATTTGTTAAACAAAAAAGTATTACTATATTATTGATTGTAATAAATTCGTCCAATAAAATGTGTTCCGTTTTATTTACCCGATAATAAAAAGATATATTTCAAAAGACATAATAAAAAATACATATTAATTTCATTCACTTTACCTATTATTATTTTACTAAAACCAAATTAAATTCAAAAGAAAAAGAAAAATACCATTAAATATTCAAAATATTGAAAGCCAATTGAAAGTTTTAAAGTACAGTTATTACTTATTCTAGGAACCCAAGTTTGCTTTTTCGTCAAGCGACTTTCCTTTTAATTTTTTTTTATAAACTACACAAAAAGAAAAAATTAAATATACAAGAGACAATACAATAATAAACTGGAATACTCTTAATCACCGAGATTTATTTACTAAGCAAATTCATTATTCAATAACGCTTACTAAATCTGTTTCATCACAAGCAATTCTAAATGAGTATAAATAAATCTATTGAAATTATACTATATGCGAAATAAAGTAAGATAATTTTAATTCCTTTTTAAATTTAAGTTTTATAACTTAATTAAATTCCAACAAATTATGAATAACATACTGAATATCTTCGTAATTACACATACTAGAATAATTAGAAGTTTTACCATTTAAATTAAATTATATTTTCAATATTAATACGATTTTCAACATCAAGTTAATAAATCCTTTATTGAATTGTGGTTTATGTAATTTGAAAATCGCCTAGACGCGGTAGTACAGAAGTTTGAAGATATTTGACAGCTTCCTACAAGTTTAAAACCAATTTGTATTCCCAAAGGAAAAAACATAATAACAGCAGAAATTTCGAGACGGCTTTCATTGCTTAATCTTTTTACTATTTGTAATATAAATGTTAGAATATATATGTAGTGAATTAAATTGTCAAATAAGAAATAAATGGAATTCTTATAAACAGAACGCTTTGTGTAAACATATTTTATGCCGAAGTATATTAAAGAATCTCTGTGCTTTGAGCTAACATTTGTCTAAGAATAACTTTCTCTTTATGTATGAAATGAAAGAAAAAAGTCCAGTACTACCAGTTCTACCGAATAAACATTATATTTTGCTGTTGTTTGATTAAAATTACAATTATCTGTGAATCCAAAGATTAAGTGGGTTTTAAAATCAATAAATTTAAATAAAATTTCAAATTGAAAAGCGGCTGATACCTCGAAAAGGAAATTGCAAATATATCCTTGACATATATGTAGCTTATTGAATGTATTGCAATAGACTTCAATCAATAGTTTCAACTCTTTTTTATAACCCATAGCATTACAAATATATTTAATTTGGAAATTTTTATGTGTCTATACAAATTTACAATATATTTTCCTAAAAACGTCGTAAATTAGAATGAAAACAAAAAAAGCATTAGTGCATCCGCTTTGAAGTGATACGAGGACAAACACTTGTGGCAATTGATTTTCATTTATACACACGTAAGCCTCAGTTAATATTCAACATGGAGAACTATTGATAAACTTGTAATTTCTCTAAACTAAATTCTTGTACATTCTGTTTATATTGAAGAATTTAGTTCTTAAATATAATATAAAAAAAAAAGTTTCTGCAGCCATGCTGTAAATAAATTTATGTTCACGAATAAATAAAAATGACCAAGTATTAAATATGCCAAATAAAATCTTATTAAAAGTGTGATATGAAATAAAACTCATCCAAAAATTTATAAATTTATATGTATATAATTGTAAAATTCATTTAAATATATAGCTTTTTATTCTAAATAAAACTAGACGTATTACTTTGGCATTAAACCTACAAATATTTCATTACATAAATACTGTAGATATTCGTTTATAGAAAAAAATAGTGAACCTTCTTGTAAGGTTTATATTATATTCATCAAGGCTTTCTAGTAAAAACAAAATGTATATATGAATCTACGATTAAACTAAGGTCCCATTAAAATATCTAGCTTCTTTCCTGTTCTTGAGTGCAGGTACAAGCACCGAATACAAAACAGAACAAGGCATTAGCTTGTACTTTTTATATTCTTATGAGTAAAAATGTAAAATAAAATAAAATATTAATATTAATATTGAAATATTATAACAAATATTATAATAATTGTCGTTAAATGCTTCTTATTATTAGTATTTGGCGTCATTAAACTAAAATTTAAAATAAGTTATCACTGACATCATAAAATAATCGAAGTATACTTGAATAATATAAATTACTCTATTTTTTCTTCTAATTTTAATATTGACACGTGTAAGTAAGATATTGTTTATAATTTTGAAGTGACGAACGCCGAGTACAATGACAAACAAAAAGCAATTCCAACTTTTTGCTTTGACTAGTCCATGATATAAGCTATATCACTGCCTCTGTAAGCGTACTCTATGAGGATTCTCTTAATTTGTTCGTCGTTCAGTTCCATCCAATTTGCAGCACCGGTGTTTTCGACTGTACCCGTAGATTGTGACAGAACTATGGATGATAAAATATTGTAAGCCTCATAGGCTTTGATCTGTGTAGTTTCTTCTTTAATGTTTTGCAAAGGGGATGTTGGTTCTGGGATCATCCTGCAAAATAAAAAGTCTAAACTTACGAATAGAACATTTTTTTTATCTCTATAATATGACAAAATATAAAGTATATTTTATTTGTTACGAATCATATTTGTACCTAGATTTGCTCTACGAGTTCAGCCGCAAGGCATTGTCTATTATAATGGCTAACTTAAAAATTAGCATAAGCTATAATATATAAATATTTTAATGCATTTTAGAGGAATAATTTAATAGGTATCTTTAGCCTCAAAAGCGTGAGATAGTGAATAAAGCGCACGATAAGCGATTAATAGTTATCTCCATAAGCGGCGATCGCCAAAGAGCAAGATAATGGAGATTTGATATTGAATTTACATCAAAACTTTGTATTCATCCCGTTACTACAATTACTTTTTTTGCCTTTAACTATAAAAATAGTTTAAAATTTAATTTAAATTTTAAAATATAAGTACATGTTTATATTTCATATCATTGAAATATATACTTCGAAATTTATATAAAAACACAAATAACTTTTTCCGGACAATTAATATCCAGAATATAATTACTACATACCGGAAAACTCAACTCTTTTAAGAAATAATAATAATAGTTATTAAAAAAACAGAACTACATTTAGTGTATGAAAGCGCAAAAAATATCTGGAAAATAAAATTGCAAGACTTTCTTCGACCAAGCTAAACGTTTATAAAACAAACAGTTTCAGGAAATTCATGAACTATGTACAGGTATAAAATTAATGACCTTATTAATGATAAGACAGCATATATAAAGAAAAGTATAAATAATAATATAACAGTTTAAATAATAATCATAATAGTATTAAAACTGTTTACATAAGTAAATAATTTTTGACATATACTAATTATGATGTAGTCTAATAATCAAATTATTATATATTTTATGTTTACACCTTACTGAAATTTAATCTATTACGCCGCTTAATAATAAAACAGTGAAAAATTATTCGTAAATCTTTGTATTAAAATTTTAATGTTGGATTTAACCAAAAAAATCTCCTTAGTATTGAAATTATATTTAAGTATATAACTACCGATAATTTTTTCTAAATGATTCCACATCTACACTTTAAAACAATGATGAAATTTTCGTCTGCTAAACACTCCCAATTCTTTCAAAATTCTTTGTCAATATTTTCCTCTTTAGCATAATCAGGTTCAATATTTACTTAAAGATCATTTACTCTTAATATCTGGATTCTCAAGATCCACTTTTATATTAGATTTCTAGATATAGACTACAATTGAAATATATTTTAGATTTAATAAACAAAACTCTATATTAAAACTTCTCAAATGAAATAATATAGAAATTGCAAACTTAAAATAGACAATTTTAAAAGGAAATCAAATACTGTAAAGAGTTTTTCGTTAGTACGGTTTATTCCATTGCTTATTCTACATATTATTGTGCAAAGCTGACGGCTTTACCACACCGTGCTATAACTGTCTGGATAATTGAGTTACAGGATTTTTACTTCATATCTTCAAATAAAACCCATTACAAAATTCAATATTAACATACTACGAAATTGTTAGAATTTATCACACCGATATTCTATCACGGAAAATCAATCCATTGACCCACTTTACCACTTAAAATCTTTTCACAATCTCCGTGTGGCTAATAGAAGTTTTACCAAAGTTAGACCTTTCAAATGGCAGAGGTTAAAAAACTTTTGTTCGATATATTTATGTTCTTCCTAATTTAGTTTACTGTATATAAATATTTCACTTTAAAAAGAACAAAAACACAAATAAATACAACACAGAAGTTCCCCTTCATTAATGACGGACGTTGAAAAACCAGACATCCATTCCCGATATGAGGACATTCAAAAAACCATCAATGAAAAAGCACATGTTCAAAGAAACCTGCCAAGATTAAGGCAGTGAATAACCCACCTGCAGTTCCCCTCCTTTATCTTGTGCAAACCTTACAATTACAGTTTATATTCCGAAAAAAACTCACAACCACTCACTCTAGCTATTAATCGCACAGGAACTGTCGACAAAATGCCCAAAGAACGACCGCCTGGCAGTCATTGCGATCGGGGTTTTTTTTTTCAAATACTTTACAAATTTCTGCATCAAAGTGAAATGAATTCTAAGCTTGAACGGTAAAGTTCATTTTGGTTCGTGCTTACATAATATAGGGTGCATCTGGGAGCCGTCTGGCTCTATTTGTGTGATTTACCCCAACATGTGGCATAGTGGGGTTCCGGACTTGATTCAATACGAACTTTTGTGTAGTTTGTACAGTCCGTACAAAAATGAATGATAGAGTATCGGATTTTACGAGGCTGCAGACTTTAGAGATAAAAACGTTAAAACAATATCTCAAACGATGTACAGTCGATGTGAAAATTACTTTATGTAGCTTTCGACATACATTAAAATCTAGTATTGTTAATACATTACGATATTGCCAAATGTAAATATATTTCTTTGTAAAGCATATTAAATTTGCGTTCTGTTAATTAATATCGTATTCCAAAAATTTTGATTCCTTTGTCGCGGTTTATCTGTTAACCGTCTGTGAATAATTAATTTGTTTTAATTCTTTAATATGTATCGTACAATAAATATACTGCATTTATTAATAATATATATAAAGCGCCTGATAATTTTCGTATTTTAATTATAAAAAAGATTTAGATACAGTTTTTTTTATCGTTAAACCCTCGCCGGCATGAATAACGCCCTTCCAATCACAATTTCATCACAATTTGAACAATGAATTCCAAAAACATTCAAACATTTTTAATCGATTATTATTACCAGATATAAAGAATGGGAATGAAGAACAAAGATACAAAATAAAATATTCTTATTGTAATACATAAGTATAAACGAGTGACCTCCTTGTTATATTAAAACTGACACTTTAAATTACTCCTAACAATTAATCTTAATTCACACATACATATACAATTTACTATCGTATATATTAAATTAAGTAGACAACCATAGTTAATATGAATAAACCTTCACATAATGTCACCAATATATAACATGAAATAACATCGTATATGATATATTAATAACAATTCAAAGTAAATCATCGCTTATCAGAACAGAGAGTGAGTAAACAAAGCATGAACTCAAAATAAGCAACATTCGTGAACGCAATCTACAAAGGATTACACTACGTAATAAAAGAAAACAATAAAAGTCACAGTTATCAATGATAGTGCCGTAAGAGAACATTGTTATCCTTCAAACCGACACTCGGTTTTGTTCTGCGCGGGCGACCGCTCGTGTCATATAAAACAAACTAGACATATCAAACGAATTCATTAGTGATGTGAATTATAATAAGTTATTTTAAATAAAATACTACCGATTTTTATCTGTATGGAACATCTTTACCGGATTTTGAATCGTTTGAAATGGTAAATATTTTTTTTAAATAATTCTAAATGTGATCTTCTATTCAACTTATTTGCTGTCACGAACATACATATTTATACTTTGTACGTGTTTATAACGTATACTAGCACATGATCAGTTAATGTCAACATGATTTGGGACTAGTTTAAAAATTTTATATATAAATAATAATAAAAAATATATTTATTACAAAAATATCGTATAAAATGAGAAACATTTTTGATTATACATAAATGTTTATAATGGCTTCCTTCCTATTTAAAATAAATAAATATCTATGAAGGTCGAATGTCTATGTATTCATTGCCAATTTAAGGAAAATAATTTTTAATGGAGACAATATTTTTTGTTGTAATTACAATTTAACCTTTTCTAGGAAAAGAAATTGCTATATACCTCCAATAAATACAATTCAAGTTATTGATAATTATTAAATCACTTGACTAAACATTTTAATTTATTCATATTATGTTATAATAATAGTATAACGATCAAATGTGTTTAAAATACAACACATCAATCTACCTAATTATAACCTGTTTTTATATTAAATTTGAATTCACAATGAACACAATATATTATCAATAAGTAATAAAATTATAACGATCCTTCACCATTTAATATCCTTATACAGAAATTGACATTTAATATTTTGATCTTCATAGTATTGAATGTACTTGTAGTACAATGAACCTTCATGCATTATGACATTAAAACAATATCTTATCTAATTTGTATCGAATATGACCATGTTTATAAATAGTACAAAAGTTCTATCCTTTTCCAGATGTCTTTCAATTCCTAATCAAATGTGGACTTATTCAAGCGTGGAGTTACCATCGAGTCGCGTCAATCGGACCGAAAGATTTCGAATATACCTATCAGAGTGTATAGTTTGCTTTTGCATCTTATTCTTCATAGTTTGCGTTGGACTCCTCTTATATCTGTTCTTCCATTTATACAGTACCGTTACAAAAGCGAGGAAAATGGAAACTTTAATAGAGAGTTGATTTATTTTAAGTTATAAAATCTATTTGTATATATTTAATGATTGTTAGTTTTTTAATTGTAATATTATTTAGTTAGTAAGTTTTCTGTTGCATTGTTTTAATACGTCATGATTATTGTGAAGGGTGAAAATCTTTTCATACCTGTAATGTTTATGTCAGAGTGTTATCTTCAGATAAAATTATATGGTTTTAGATAAATATAATTTTTTATTATTATTTTTATACATTTTACTTTTAACTGCTCTTTGTTTTCTGCGGATTTTTCAAAGAAATTTTCAAAGAATCAGAAAACAATTGAATTAATATAAAATAAGTAAAAAAGTGATTATTTTATTCTAAATTTTGGTGGTACTTTGAAGTAGAGAAGACTTGGTGAGTGTTAAACAAAGAGGAAAGATTGATAAGAAATCTTAATAGTAACAAAAAATATATATCATACAAGTTTTTTACTTCGAATTTGCTCGTCTGTTTTTAGTTCATTTATATTAAGCTTCCTGTACTATTTGGTATAACACTACCGCTGTCTGTGCACCTTAAAAAAATCACTTAACAAAATTTTGCATTTGTAATGTTAAAATAATTTCAGTAACAGATTTTTTTTAAACTATTTGAAGTTGACCAAATACGACATACTTTTAAGAACACCTTCTTAGTTGTATTGTTAAATTCGCCAAAAACATTACCTGTTAATTTAATAATACTTGTATGTGTATTAACACTAATACTACACAGTATATTAAAATATTACTTCAGTGGAAAACTTTAAACTAATAATTGTATAATTATTATTACAGCCATAAAAGTTATGAAGTTGATAAACACTATCATAGTTTAAATATTTTAAGTTAATTATATACTATACAGCTTATATGAGTTCTATATAAAATAATAATAGAATATTTGTTCTATAATGCACATATATATTTTTCCAATCAAAAACATATTTATTCCAAATCTGCTAGACAAAGTAAATCACGAAAGCTAAATTTAGATTTTTTTTTACACTAAATACATTTCAAAGTAAAATACAACAGCAAAATTGTCCACTGTAATAAATCCTTCGTCGTTTAAAAACGGATTTCATGGTTGCAACTTCATTCAAACGGAATATGGGAAAAAATTACCTTAGATGGGACAACGCTGATTGAGTTAGTCTGTAAATGTTCTCTTTAAAACATATACATTTATATAAATTTCTCTTTTTTATGATCATTATAATCCATCTTTATTTATGAGTAATATAACTTGAGTTATATACAAATAGTGTAATACCAAAGTCCCATTGGAGTTTCAACTTGAGATCGAGGGAAAACTCTCGAGAGTTCGACCGTTTATCTGTCCCAGGGCAGAGATTTATCATACATTGTTAAATGGTTTGATTGTGCTTGATGTATTTCTCTATCTTTTGTTTTTTTTTTTATGTGAAAGGTGGCAAACGAGCAGACGGCCCACTTGATGGAAGGTGGTTACCGTCGCCCAAGGACATCCATAACATCGTCGCGGATGCGTTGCCAACCTTGTTTTTTTTAGGGACAGGGAGAGGTGGGAATAAGGAAATGGTAGGAAAGGGTGGGAATAGGGAAAAGGCAACCGGCTCTCTCACTCATCGGACGAAACGCAGCCAGTAAAGGCTACTTCACGCCGATCTTCTGTGAGAGGGTGGTACTTCCCCGGTCGAGCCAGCCCATGTTCGAGCTGTAGTAACTAACTACAGCTAGGCTCTACCACCTCTTGTTTCATTTAAGCAGTAAATATTAAATAAGATAATATAATAAAATACTAAACATATTAAATATACATTACAGTTGAAGGCAGAAAATTTTCTTATCTTTTTATACTACGTCATAAAATGTTTTTTGTTATATCAACTAAATTGATTAAACAGAAGGTCTTGAAACCTACCTTACTGGCATCTGAATTGTTTTATTTTAAAATATATTATGTACCTTCTGACGCTCGTTATATCGAGAAGATATGTAATTTTTTCTTATTCGGAAACTGTATACAGCATATACACAGACAGGTTAAATATATTATTATATTTTTTAACATCGTGAGTTGGTTGAAATTGAGCCTATGTTTTCAATAGAAAATCGTGACACGGTTATAAACGAAGATTTACGAATGAAAAACCTTGAGACAGACTATGTTCAGTTTTACAGTACAAAGTCAAAAGGATACTGATATCTTTATAACAATGATGGGCACTGTTGTTTTATGAATTATTACATGTTTTGTATCTTAATACAATAAAATATATGACACAAAAGAACCACCCACACAAGCACACATATTCATACGTACAGCTATGCACACACATACACAAATGACGTTGAATGTACACAGTGTCGTTTATCAAAGGAATTATTTTGTGAAGTAACTGACATAACATGGCCAATGCTTAAAACCTGATTCTGATATTTTACAAGTCAATGACTTTGTATTATGATAACAATTGCTAATCAATTATCCATTGTAATGAATTTTTAATTGCTTTTGTTGGTCGTTCAAGAGGATTTAAAATTTTAGTCTTTTGATATAATACCAACGTTTTCACATATATATAAAAGATTATATGTTTTTTTAATTGGAATACCTAAAAGAAGTATCGAATGAATTGATTATTGTATTAATTTATTTATTACTAATTCGGCTAATCATAAGGCTATTTATATAAATATATCAGTTCAATTTCATTGTATATATACAGTATACATATATCGTAAAGTCTTATGTCAATAGACCTATTATTTAATTTACTTATTATGAAATAAAAAGACTCTAGAATCCTTTTTCAATTATTAGCTGGTAAAAAATAATATTTGTAAAGGACTTATTTAATTCTTGGAACAGAATACATTTTATTCTTTTACATCCAGTTATCTATTAAAACTTTAAACCTGAAACCTTTTTATTCAACATTCAGTTTGAAAAGGAAGTGCCGAATACTTGAATGAAGAAACAAAAATAATGTTTATGACGCCAACTCACCTTGCTTCCAAAATCAGAGAAAAAACACAAAGCAGCAAAATTATCCATGAGTTTCTTTGATAAATTCTTATTAATATATTGTTCGAAATCAATTCGTTTCTTGATAAAAATTAAAATGGAATACCTGGACCGCATCAAGGACATAATGTACGAAATAATACAAAAAAAACAATCAGTAGCAATGAGGTTTTATTTAAATTTGTCTTAAATAAAACCTATTTTATGTTATGTATTTACATATATCATACCTAAAGAAATACCTGTTGAAGTGTCCGAATCTAATATAACAAGACAAGCCGCAATTGCAACATGACTTTAAATTAGCAAGTCAGTCACGTAACGCGGTAGATAGTTCCCATTGTTTGAGTTGCTTGGTTTCTGTCTGCCAAAGATTATTCCTAGCTTATTACTTTGAAATTTTACTTTATAATAAATCTAATGAACATTTGCGATTACAATCGTCGTTTTGTTTAACGATTAGACACAATGATAATATTAGAGAAGAGTCAAAGAACTGAGTGATGATGAAACAGACAATGGCAATGTTATCATTAATATATGTGTATATGTACGCTTATAATTAATAATTCTCAATGTTAATTGATCCTTTTAGCGATTCTTATTCACACATTGATGAAACACACACACACACACACATAAAACGTGAGTCAATAACAAAAGAAGCTGACATTTCAACCTTAAATATTTCTTAAAATAGACATAAAAGTACGAGCAAAGTACAAAAGTATATGAAAAATGTTAATAAATAACATGTAATAATAATTTATTTTATGCTACCAGCAAATTATATATAGTTATTGCAACGTGCATATATATGTAAATACTAGTGTCAGATATTTTAATTGACTGAGTCAATCACTCACAATTAGTGTGATTATCATCGAACCTAAGATATAAGGAAGTGGAATAAATATTAATTAGTTTTAATAATAAGAAAAAAGTCAGCTTAGTCAGTCAGTAAAGACGCAAATATACACAAATGGAAAGGTTCCAGTATAAATTCTTCCTAGTGTGTATATGTGTTAACTCTCACTATAGAAACCATAGCTTGGTTTGAATCGACAAAAAGGATTCACTTATTTCTTATTTTAGTAATCACAAAACAATTTATTGACCTATTTTTTAAATCAAAAGTCAATTTTGTTTTTCATGACAACTAGCAATTTCCTGTCAATTATAGAGTGACGTGCTTTATAGAAATTTTAAGTAAAATAAACCTTTTTTACTCGCATTGCAAAAAGATGGGAATTGTATTTTGACATATTGACAGCCGAAACGGGCGTACAGATTTTACCTTTTTTTGATGTCAATGTTAAAAGAAAATCGGAAAATAAGTAGTACATATTCTATAACAAGTTTATGCGAATATTAAATAAATACTATTAGAAGAAGACACTATTAAAGATACACACTCACAAAACAATTTTTCACAAGGAAATAGACAGTAACGTAATAGGTGTTTATTGCTAAAATTATCAGTCAAAAATACCAACCATACAAAAAAAAATACTAAGTAACACTTATATTATGTATTCAGTTATGTCACTATTTATATAAATATTTATTTACTTCAAATCAAAATAGCATTTAACATAGCAACATAACAACTGGACCTTAAAAAAATTACTCCATTTTTTATAATACGATCAAAATGACACAATGAAGTCTGTGCACATAATATTTTTAAATTTACCATAATTGTCGTTTATAAACGTAAAATGAAATATGTGTATTGTATAATCAAATTATCATACAGCAAACTTAAAATGTTTTTATTACGGCAGTGCTATTTAATTTCATACGTTTTTCGTATAATTAGCTCACAATAAACTGACCTTAATAACGTTACGCATATACTGATTATGTCGATGCAATTTTCTGTAAACAATAAAATATAGCAATAAAGGAATAGCGTATCGTACTTGGGAAAATTTCGAACGTAAAATGATATTGTAAAAGTTCACGTTATTTGAACGGATGATTGCATA